GGAAGGAAGGAAGGAAGGAAGGAAGGAAGGAAGGAAGGAAGGAAGGAAGGAAGATGAACCATCAGGGCGTCTTTGGGGAACAGGCAGGAAAAGAATCTGGAGGAAGAAGCCTGCAGAGGATCTGGAGGCTAGGCTGGGGCTTGGATCGAGTGGGGCTTCACACAACACTCTTAACCAGGACAGGTAAAAAGTTGCTAAGCTCAGTTAATAATCACCTTGGTTTATTTTGCGTGTCGGTCTATGAGTGTGCACATGTGGCGTGAACTCAGCCTGTTTGCTTAGGCTATGGCAGAAACCCAGAAGACACGTCCGTTCAATAACCAGGTTAGGCCTGCTGTATGAAGGTAGCCATTAAGATGGGGCATCTCAGGGGAGTGCAGAAAGAATCCGGAGCGCTTGCAACTTGCTCTCATTGCTCAGGGATGCTCCAGCTTCAGGGCTCTTTCTGATGTAAGTCACTTCTTACAGGCCAAGGGACATCCATGGTCACTTCAAGAAACCCCAGTGGGTGGTTTTCCACCACATTTGCACTAGGAAAAGCAAACACTTGTCACACACATTACACAAAAGCGATCTTGGAAGAGGGGGAAGAAAGCCCCAGCAACATCTGGATTGATTATCATGACACTTCATTTGATTTCAGGTCCGCTTTTTCCCCAGAAAATAATTGAAGACTTCGATTTGCAGATGCGTGTCCATGATTTGATTCCCATGCATTCAGGCAACTTGCATGTGTGAAAGCAGCTGCGCTGGGGTGTCCGAAGGGGGCTTGCCATTCCCTTCATAGGCCTCAGTCTGCGATGTCTTATGCAGGCCAGCATTTGGTCCTGCTATTGTCAAATAATGAACACACATACTGTATGTGAACCCGTCCTCTGCATCCAGTGCCACATGCAAGGAACATGCTGGGTAGTTTGTGTTTATATGAGCACTGCTCAGATCCTCTGCATCTGATCCCCGTGTTCTTAACAGTGCACAGCTGAACGTGTGAACCGATTCCAAAGGGAAGCCTTTGTACTGGTGGGGATGAGAAACTTCTGCTTGTAGCATCTGATTTCTGAACAGCCTCATTATCAGCTACCCATGACTTAGATTCGCCTGTCACGGAGTGCTGAGTGCAAATGATTCATCTTTCATTTATTTTTGAAACGCAGAAGCTGTTTTTCCCAGCGTTGAAGTTCAGCCTCGCTCGTCCATCATTTGCATTCACAAATCCAGAGTTGGAAGGGCGTGACTGTTTTGTGCTTGGAACCGTTTGTGCAAAATTTCAGTTTCAGCCCCCGGTACACAAGGGATGATGGATGAGGAAGATCCTCTCCTCGTGCACCCAAGGGGGGGGGGCTCACAGGGAAAAGAGGGCTGAAAGTGGGGGCGGGTTAACGCTGTGGTCCTTCTCTGGGGTAAATCAGCAGAACTGACTCCTGAGCAAGTTGCTTAGAATGAGTGTCAAAGGTTGTGCTCAGTTTCACAAAGGAGGCTGGAGCAGGGAAACCTGACGTTTCCAAGGAAAATGTTACATTTATTCAATAGATTGAGTGGGTGGAGCTTAAAAAATCACGGAGACATTTAAAAATTGCAGAAGGCTGCTCAGATGCTCAGCAATCTGCATTTAGGATGGGGAGAGGAGGATGCTAACAAGAGTGCCCCCCTTCCACTTTTATCCCTAAGAAGAATATTTAAGACCACTACAGATCTCAAAAGACCTGAAGGGTTTTTGCACAGCTGGTGAGTCAGATTTTTTATTTGTACTGGCTTTGCTGTTAGTTTCTCATTAATCTTTCTTGGCACTGATTGTATGTGCGTCGGTAGGTGCGCGTGTGTGTCTTGCTGGCTTTGCAACCTGTTTTGCAGTTTGCGGACTGAGAGGTTGGCTATAAAGCAACTAAGGGCAGTGAAGAAGCTGTGGCTAAAGAGATGTTTGCAGAATGAATGTTTAACCTCGGTGTAAGTTTGGTGCGAGTTGCAGCTGCTGCGATTTATCTCCAGCAAGCAAAGGGACGTAAAGAACCCATTTATTAGTACCTGAAGGAGTCAAACAAATCTATTTCTTCGTGGATTTTTAATGCGTGTTATCCTTCCCATTGTTGTCAGCCATTCCAATATCCTGGATCATAAACATTCTTTTTGTTGTTGGTCGGGAAGAAAGGAGGTTAATGGGTAACTTCATGCTTGCCTGCTCAGGAAAACATCTCCTACGGTTAATGTCCTAGAAGAAAGTCTCACAGGGTCTTAAAGACCCAATCAATCATTTGGGCTTAACAATTCATGTGCAACGGCCTTTGTTTTCAGATGCACTTTTCAGACCGAGAAGGTGATGGGTGGCTTTACCTCTGAGTACTTGGCAGGGTCTGCAGGGAAAAGACCCTCTTATAATCCTGCAGATTTATTCCAGGAAGTGAGAATAACACAGAGTTGTTACAAGGGAGTGAACTCTCTTACTCTTTGAGTGAGATAACTAAGGTAAAATCTTCCTCTCTTTTGAGGTGACCCCATGGACACAGCCAAAGAGTGTTTCTTGCAGCATCATGGAAGGAGTTTGCTATTGTTTTCTTCCGAGATGGTTTCTGATTGAGCCTGGGCTCTCCTGGTGGTGTCCCATCAAAGTACTAACTAGATCTGACTTGGATTAGCTTTTCACACGTTTTCAAGGTCAGCCAAGGTTGGCTGAGTGTTGTATTTGTATGTCAGAGGGAGATGGATGGATGGATGGATGGATGGATGGATGGATGGATGGATGGATGGATGGATGGATGGATGGATGGATGGATGGATGGATGGATGGATGGATGGATGGATGGATGGATGGATGGATGGATGGATGGATGGATGGATGGATGGATGGATGGATGGATGGATGGATGGATGGATATTTATTCATTCATCTGGGCAGGACAGTTGTGGCATTCCTGTAGCTACTCATGAATGAGTGGACCCACCCAGGCTTTGCCACCTGTTTTACTTTGGGGGAGAGCTACGGATTTCCATTCCAGAACAAAACTTCCCTCCCTGCCACACACAAGAGCTACGTAGCCTAAATTCTTGAGTGCAGGTACCAAGCAGAACCCTATTAATATACATGTCACTGACTGTTGGCCCTCTAAATGTGGCTAGACTACATCTTCCATCCTCCTTGGCCATTCAGGCTGAGGGTCATGGGAATTAGGTCCAGTGATGTTGGGCGGCATGAAGTGGATGACCCTAAACAGCCATGGTTATCATTTGTTACAGGGAGCCTTGCGGGTGTCTGCAGATGTGGTCGAACAAGTCAAGATGGCTGTGGTGGTGCAACATAAAAACCAGGTGGACCTTCGATCGCCCGTTTCAGCTGCCATCTTGACTTGTGGGACTGTATCCTGTGGAGCCTCTTGGCTGGAAAATCAAAAGGCGGGATGGGAAGGGAAGGGAAGGGAAGGGAAGGGAAGGGGAGGGAAG